TACCGTCAGATAGACAGTTTCAAGATTCAAAAGGGACGCGAATGCCTGGGAATAGTGTCTCTGGATATCTTCAGAAACGCCTGTAGAGCATTTGAGAAAATAATCTCACCGGTAGACCTATTCCATTCTTATATCGAATCATTTCAGGTTTGGGCCGCTGAAATTTCGGAATAGAGCATGTGTGGCACAGTCCACACCAAATCCTTGCCTGCTGTAGCTTTAAGATCCTCAGCATTGGGAACATCCGGGGATAGCAGCGATCGCGTTCGGTGAGGGCCACTGAAGGCCGCAAATATCAGCTTCAATGACGGTAGATCCAGAGATGACTGGTAGTCTGGTTGTAAGGCTTGACTTGCGGAAGTCTATTCGAACTTTTTGCAAGCGGGTAAATCCTTCGACATTCCATGTATGATCCCATGAACCGCGCCTTGGCATAAAAAGTATTTTTCTTTAATAAACCTGTTCAATTGCGAAGCTTGAAGACGAGCGCATATCACTCACCTGGTCCATAAGCTCTTGATTTGAGGGAAAATTAAGTTTTTGTCGAGTAACGCATCTGAATCTTGAACGATGAGGGTTGCAAACCAAGACTCGAGGGCTAATGTCTGAAGATTCTGGATGTCACAGAAATCGAAGAAAAACACAGCTTCCAATTGGGTTTTAGCGGTACAGATTGTTCGAGAGAGAAACCATCATCAACATGGGCATTGTTAGCAACATATATGATTATTATTTCTCTCAGTAGCTCGAGAGGAAGCTCGGTCATGGCGGGCGCGTCGCAGAATCCGAGCAGGCGTTTAAATCTAGCGCTCAGTGCACTGAGTTTGCGTCATGTCGGTATAGGAACAATTACTCTCCGCCTTAACCAGCTCGGCAAAAAAGTTTAATGTGGCTATGAATTCCAGGGTACCCAGTTCAGGAAAAACTCCTGCGGTGAAAAAAGATGGCCCAACCGAGAAGACGAACAAAAAGGTCTCTCGAGGTATGTAGTCGTTGCACATTTATCCGTTTCAGCTCAATAAATCATCTGCACAGCCTGCAATACCTGCAGATTAAAGCGTAAGAAAGTGTGTACCTTTCAAATCAAGAAAGCGATTTGTTGCCAATCAATTTGACACTTAGTGTGATGGGTTAGAGCCTTGCTACTTTTGTACGGAGACGAAAGTAGAATGTTCATATTCTCGTGAACCCAGACGGCGAGGTCCCCCATCAGGCTACCTGCGATACACAGAAACTCGGGTCAATTTACTCGAGACTCTCCTTGGACTTCTCTGTCTTAATCCGGATGTTCTCTCTAATCTCTTCTCACTCACACTCACCCTCAAATCTGAATCCAAAACTTGCACACAAGATGTGTGGGACAGATACAAGGCCACTTGGTTAGCATCTGAAGCCGCCGAAGCCATCGAAGAACTTACGTTAGGGTTTGCGCCTTTTGTGCACAATCGCGAAGTTGGCGCAGGCGAAGGATACGCCAAACCTTTGTTGCCTCTTCCGAGCGAAGCATCAGCTTCCAAAGAAAGGCGAGATGTACAAGCAGAACGATCACCTACGCCTGAAAACGACACGCACTTGCATACTGCATTTTTCCCAGAATCTCCCGGCCTTCCTTCCCCTTCACCCCGTTCGGTCTCATTCGTTGGAAACCCTTTTTCACCTAGCACGATATCCCGAGAGTCTTTCGAGCGCACTCAAAGTGTGCGAGGACATTCCTTGGAAAGACTCGGTGACCGATCATCTCCCGTAGGCTCTCTCTCTCATGAACCGGGCAAGGGTGGACCGACATCGCCAGGATTTGCTGCTCCATATATAGAGCAAGCAGCTTCCAGCTCCAAGTTGGTGTACCCATCTCGTTCTTACCTTGATCCTCACGTGGATACGCATGATTTCCCGACAGGGAGCATGAATTCCTCAAGTCGTTCGGAGAGAAATTTATATACCGGGAGCTATTGGTACGTTTTTCGAGTATGAGATTTTTCTGTTCCCTGACAACGTTACAGGCGTACAGCTGAACTTACTGCCATGGAGGGCGCGCCAATGTTCAGCACAACAGAGATCTCTCCTGACTCAGCCAGCCTGAGCTGGAACCCTCTTTCCTCCACCTTGTCATTTCCCCCTTCAACATCATCAGACTCGATATCCAGCAATAATCCCAGCGCGACAAATATGCTCACAAGGCTTCTCGCCCCTCCTATAGAACCAATAGACCTTCCTCCTCCTCACATTCTTGCAAACCTCGTCGACGTGTATTACACCCATATTCACCCGACGTTCCCAATCCTTTCTGACCGGTCATCTATTGAAAACATCCTTCGTGATGCTGGAAACCAAGCCGCAGCTCAAGCAGGTACCGCATTGGGAGACCTAGGACTCGGTGCATCGAAAGACCTCAGCGACGCCACTAATTGCATGCTCTTATCCATGTGTGCATATGCCGGTCGGCTGAGTTCAAATATACCTGTTGCTTCGCTCGATTCATCGTCTATACCTCATTTCCAGAGCATGTACAGTAACAGTACCGTTCTTCGTGGCGACGAAGCTTCTGCTGCCGCCATCTTTCTGAGCACTGATACGTCCAAGGTTGCGGCAGATTTGTGGTATGAACAAGCCAGGGGTGCGGTCAATCTATTATTAAGAAAGCCTGCCAGATTAGAAACGGTACAGGCGCTAATTTTACTAGCGTTGAGGGACTACGGAAAGGGTGGTGTGGCCGGAGGAGGAGAGAGCCAGGCGTGGTTATTAATAGGTGAGCATGATCTCATGTGCGGCCTTACGGCTACTCATTTCTGCATAGGGATGGCTATCCGACTTGGTCAAGAATTAGACCTTCCAGCTTCAGCATCATTTTCCCCTAATTTTACGTCGCTCAACATGTCCAATACTGTCCAGGTGGCCTCGAATTCCAAACTCAAGGCGAAACATTCGCTAGAGGAGCACATCACAAGAGGCAACCTCTGGGGTATTCTGACCATGCTCGATGGACTATTATCGTTGCAACTTGGACGGGCACCTGCTGTCGCGGAAGCCCTAAAGCCCAAGCCTAACGCAAACCTCCACATTTATCCGAGTACAGTAGATGCTCCTACTCCTGGTACTAGTAGCAGTCCATCTGTATCAGGACTCCCAACTTCCATCTTAAGTTCCCCTCCTCCTCTCTTCGCTTATTCATGTCTACTATCCCAAATCATTTCGAAGATCAATTTCTGGCTCTATCTGGGATTTGGTCCAACACCATCTCCCCCTTCTGCTCCAGGTCCTACTAACAGTCGTGTCTCTTCGGCTCTTTTGTCCTTGAGCTCAAGCTCGTCGGGCTCAGTTACGCCTCTGAGCACAGCTGAACCGCAGAATGCATTTCCTACCCAGGCGAAGCTCGCAACGCTGCGCACAGAATTAGACGGTTGGCTTCAGATGTTGCCCATTCAGTTCCGTGTCTCTATTGGGGGGATTGGCTTTGGAGCAACCGGCCTTGGGACAAAAGAGGTGTTGGAGGTTAACATGCTCTATCATGTGGCTGTGATACTGCTCTACAGACCCTTGTGAGTCGCTTGTCTTATTTTAGTTGTTGGAAGATTCCTAATTACTATCTGGCTCAGCGTCAAAGACCAGCCAGTACAACAGGCCACTGATATATTCCTCGATGCGGCGTCTACTTTCAACTTGCTCCTTGAAAAATACAAGAATCAACACATGAGCTCCTCTACTGAGGCCAATGCATTTGCAATGTCTAATCCCTCACTCATCTATCTCATCTTCACCGTCGCACTTGCACATCTAAGCGGGTACAAATCTCGGTTACAACAAGCAAGGACGAACTATCATTCCAATCATCGCCGTTCATCGCTGCATTATCGTGCTGCGTCTCCTTATCCAACCACAAGCATTCCTATCATATCTTTTTCTTCCCCTCCCGCGACACCCCGACAACGTACGGCTCCCTCGCTTCCAACCACACATACTCTCCTCACGCCTCAACAACAAACTCAGCAACTTCAAACCCAGCTACACCTCATGAATTGCCTTGATGCCTTAAAGTCTATTGGAACAACATGGGAGCTTGCACGAAGATGTTGGCGGACATTGGACCAGCTGATTGATAAAGAGGGAATGAAACCAGGGGGTACTGGGATGAGAGATAGAGAACCCTCTCTCGTCGAAGTTGGTGGGAGCGTCCAAAGTCATGGACTGGGTAAACGGAAACGGGAGGGAGATGAAGTCGATAATCGACTGCGTACGCCCGCTGTTCCAGAGAAAATACAAGTTCGGACATCATCCGTAAATTCTCCAGAAAGTGCGCATGCTATGGACTGCGCAAGCGATAGCGAATCGAGTTTTCTTGGTGGACCGTATACACCACGCGCATTTGATGTATTACAGGGGACACCGTTACGTGTCAGAGAGGATTCAGACAACTTGCACATGGCAGATTGGACCAAAAGTCAAACGACGCACCAGACTCAGCATACGGTCTATCCCGGATCCGGTTTCGATATGCCTTTCTTTTCGAATGGCTGGCTTTCCGATTTCGAGACAGAGTTTCTGGACGTTGGAGTAGCAGGCGGAGCATTGGATGTTGGAACAATGGAAACAGGTGGCTGGGGACTTCCAGTTGATTCTTGGAATGGCTGGGTTGGTGATTCTGCTTGGGAGGACAAGTTTTTCTGGGGTAAAGGTGTCGAATCTGGACTGGATACTGGTTAAAGTATTATCTTGGACAATATCGTTCTCATTTTTTTTTTCGTTTCTGTAAACTATACTGTACTATAGACGCAAGGACTAAATTATGTACTATGTATTAGCAGCACCGGGGGTTGACATTTCATATAAAGAAACTCCACTCGCTGGCGCCCTACTATGGATATGGACTAAATATCTACTACAGACTTTTATCTTGTAGCCCAGGACGTTACCATTTTGGCTTATGGTTTATGGCCGTGCAGTCAGAAAGACCCAAAGACCATAGACCATAAGTCAAAAAGACAAGCTAGGAGAAATTGTAACGTGTCCGCGTAGCTCAGTGGTAGAGCGCGAGATTGCAATCGTTATATAGCAGGGAATCTTGAGGTCGCGTGTTCGACCCACGCCGCGGACTTGCGATATCAATTTTTTGTGCTTTCGCTTTTTGTCCTGTAAGCAGTCTACAATAAGCAGCCCACATTGGGATCAGTTTCCATGGATTGATTCATACGATGAACAAAGCATCCGCGGGTAAATGAAACAAAAATCAGAAATGCAAGGAGCGTCGATGAAATACCAAGAAATTAAAAGTATGACCAAACAACGGCACACAAAAGTGTACCTACCATCTTCTCGATACTGAAGTTTCACTGCTAGCTGAAGCCTCTACAAGAACTGAGTCCTTCTGATTGTTCCATATTATTGTTCCTTCATCACCCTGGTCATTTTTCTGCAATGACATGCATTGAAATGTTAGCCCATTAGTGACTGGAGAATCGTTGGTGTATGTTAGTCTCATCCGAATGTAATGTAATTACACCACGGCATCTGAGAAATGACTGCAGAAAAATGTAGAAAATAAGCGCCTTAAGCGGCAAGACGCCGCGGGGCCTAGTTCTTCCTCTGTGAGAATTATCTATTACGAATTCAGGATCCGGAAGTCTGAGGAATAAATGCTTTCCGCAGCATATGAAGCAAGTGCTTGCTCATTGCAGATTGCAGATTCCCAATGGTGGCCCCTTTGTGCTCATACCCCCGACCTAAATTCGCCATTGCCTCCTTGTCTTTGGGAACCAGTACTTATCACGACCTTCCCACCAAGATATACGTGACCTCCGAGCTGGGTTATGACGGAATCGAGATATTTACCCCTGATTTTGAAAGCTTTGTCGACGAAGTCCGAGAAGGAAAGCATGCCGAATTATTTGACCACCCTATAACATCCCTTTCACCCAGTGAACTTGACCACGCTTGCGCTATAGCGATCCACAACCTTTGCGAGTCCTTGGACCTCGAAATTCCGTTGTTTCAACCCTTCAGGAACTTTGAGAACTTCCGCTCTCAGGAGCATGTAGACGTTGGACTCACACAGGCAAAGCGGTGGCTCAGGATCATGCGCGCTTTGCAATGTGATCTGCTTCTTGTCTGCTCCAATTACATCTCTTCGCCTCATCCGATTTCCGAAGAATACACTGCAGAGATGTACCGTGATGCGCAGGTGGATGCGTTTCGTCAGTTGGGTGAGCTGGCAGAGGAGTACGGTGTACGCATAGGATACGAACCTTTGAGCTGGGGAACGGTTATCAATAACTGGATGCAAGTATGGGATATCGTCAAACGCGTCGATCGGGATAATGTGGGGGTTTTATTAGATTCTTTTAACACACTGTAAGTTCGTCTTCCTGCTGCTACGTTGTCTCATTCACTGAGTGTAGCCTTCTAGCGGTAACCAATATGCTGACCCTGGCCAGCCTTCCACTATACGCAAGGGCCAGACTCTGGCCAACATGCTTTCCAACCTCGAGGAAATGTCGCTGACAGTTCCCGCAGAGAAGATATTCTTCTATCAAGTCGCTGACGCAATCCGCCCCGCAGACATATGCCATGACGATAGTGATATGCCAGGGCGCATGAAGTGGAGTCGAGCATGTAGAGTGTTCCCATGCGAGCCCCCTGCTTCAGAGTCAGACTCTGGCAAATATGACCCCCTCTTGGACCTCGAGAATCCGACATCAGGTTATCTGGGATTTCTTCCAGTTACACAGATGACCTCTTTCGTACATCGCGCAGGATATCGAGGCTGGTGGTCCCTGGAGGTGTTTAACACCTCACTGCAAGAGAGCGACAGAAATTGTCCAGAACGCCACGCTCGTCGCGGAATCAGCGGTTTGCGTACCCTCTGGGAGATTATCAAAGCCAATCCGCTTTGTCAAACGAATGGAGTAACCACTTTGAAATCGGAGCCTGGAACATTTACATCATCATCACCACCAACCCCACCACTTTCCATCGGGAGCGATTCAGGAGATTCCACGGCCTCGAGCGACGTCGAATCGGAAGTGGATCTCCTTGAAAGCGACACCGAATCGGAAGTCAATCTTCCTGGGATTGTGAGAAAGACTAGTGGTTATGGCGATTATGCTGTCCAGAAGTTGCAGGTAGAGCGTAGCGCTTTCATAGTTTAACAAGCAACTGTACGACTCGACTTTCAGATACACGCTGTTATACCACATGCACTTACCTTAAACTAAAATTGGCCCCAGAGTTCCAATGTCGAGACAGAGATTGACACCAAGAAAAAAGCAAATTTATCAGATATAGCGGTTTTACAAAGTTGGTGACATGCAAGTTTTACTTAACCTCCAGTACCAGCACCTCTCCACCACTTGACCACCCCATCTTCTCCACCGGAAACAAAGGCCCCTGCGGATCCAGCTGAAGGAGCTCTGGGTCGCCACGAGACCGACCAGACTTCTCCTGTGTCCTGCACAGTAGTCACCGCGGCGCGAGCAGCGATATCCCAAACTTTGATAGATTTGTCGGCAGATCTGCACAAGTTAATAGAGTTGAGCCAACGTATAAGAAATACAGAGCACGAAAAGCATCTCACCCAGACAATCCCAATCGTCCGTCACTAGAGATATCGACGGATAGCACCCAAGACGAATGCCCACTGAACGACGCGACAGCTCCACCACCCTTTGCCGAGGACACGCGTACATCATATAGTGATAAACGTTTATCTTCCGATGCACTGAGAAGAAGCTAAAATACAATGAGATTCGAGAAAGCTACGTTACGAAGGAAATAGCATACATTTCCATCTGAAGACCACGCCACGGAACGAACACTCATTGCATGCGACGAGTAGGTAGTTGTGAAAGTGTTTGATTCTACATCAAGAAGAGAAACTTGCCCGATCTCCGAGGAGAGGGCAATACGCTTGCTATCAGGGCTCTAGAGAGATTACAGTCAGCTAAAAAGGACGGTTGCGAGTGAACAGACACGTGCATAGGAACAGCACATTCCAAACTTGTTTCTTCCAGAAAACACGCTCGAAAGTCGGCGACCAAAAGACTCTGGCGCAGCTGAGTGGATTTCAAGGATTCCAGCGCCTCCTGCAGATGCATATGTTGTTCCGGAGGGACTCAGCGATACAGTCCAATCTTTGAAGGCAGCTTCAGAAAAACGATTATTGCCTACAAGGAAGCAAAACTCACGAGGAGAAGGTTCTAGTTCTTCGCCCTGCGCCATATAGCTTTCAAACGTTCCTTCCAACTTCCCAGTCTCAAGATTCCACAAGCATGTTAGACCTTCGAGGCTGTTGTACAGCGCACGCTGACCGTCTGCCGATACTGATAGAGATACCAGCCCAAGAGTATGTGGTGAAGGTGTTGTGTATTCGGGTTGATCTGGCGGTAGGTACGATTCGCCTGAGGCCGAAACCCATTGTTTGATGGATCCATCGGCCGATATTGATACTACTGTGTCATTTTTGGTCCAAGAAACACCCCAGACTGCATCAGCGTGGGCTAAAAAGAATTAAAATGAGAGATACTTAAAGATAAAAGGGAAGAACTTACCTTCTGAGCAGTCATGAGCATGAAGGAAGGCGAGACTCTGAAATCCGGTGTAGTTTTTCAGCTTGACGTTGAGATCATATAATTGATAAAGTATCGCGTACCATGTCGGGCGAGATCTGGACGAAGAACGCGTTAATCTCGCGTTTGCTGAGTAAGTTGCAAAAGGTTGAAAACGATTAGCGCTCGCAGCACATCGCTACTTACTAGTACAAGCTACAACAACAGAATCTATGATACAATTTAAGGACTAGAGGACGGAGAATCGTGCGCGATTCCGATATCTACCATAGCTATGTACGAAAGCGTCCGGGAATCAGGACTCAACACTACTCGACGGCGTCGAATACACATTAACATTAAAAACCATAGCGAGAGCCTGGAAACAAATAAGCAACCGCGTAAGATCAGTCTGTTTATTTATCACTGTGTTTTTCAGGCTGAGATTTTGAAAAGCCATCAGCATCCAAATCTGTCGCAAAGCAGACGACAGAATTGGACGCAAACGATCCATTGTAGCACTTTTCCAGAGTTCGTTAATATCGTCGGCATCAGAAATACAACTCGTGCTGCTGTCTTCTATCATCAACAATGATACAGAGATGGTGACGCCAATGTCGAGAATTCGCAGAAATTCGTCGGGGCGTTGGCGAACGGTAGATAATTTTGATAAGGTGTTACGGAGCAGCTGGTCCCGTGGAACTACATTGGAATTCGGAGTCCAGGATGGGTAGGTCATGGTCGGATCGATGTCACTCAGGACGGATAAGAGAAGCGACGCAATCCTACTTTCACACAAAGGTTTGGCCAGAACGGGGAATTCCCGAGATATGAATGTGATGAACTCCAAGAAGTAGTCCACATGTTTGCTTGCTTTACGTTTCGGAAGGCAATGGCGAAAGTCGGCAAGAGATCTTGTACTGAAAAAAAACACCTGAGCCAAGTTGGAATGTTCACTAGAGAGTACAGGCTTACCTGGTCGTGTTCTGAAACGTTGAGGCCAAAATCTGTAAAACTGATACGGCGTTCTGGAAAGAGCAGTCAGCCAGTAGCTCTCCAATGATTTTCCACATCTTCGGACCAAGTGCAACAAACTTCAAAAGCATTGAACTCGACAGCATCTGCAAGGAAGAGTCCAATTCCGAGTGGCTGAATCAACAGATGAATTCCTTCGACTTGAAATAAAGCAAAGAACACTCGTACCACAAAAGCCATACAAGCTCTGTGAGCGCAGATCGCACATACTCCACATGACTTCGAGTAAACTGACGGACCGACATCAAAGCATTGATAGCACCCAAACGGAGCCTCCAAGCGTCAGACAGAAGCGTAGATGACCCAGGACGGACTTGAGCAGGCTCAAGTCGGGCCATAAAACACTCTGGAAGAGTAAAATCCTCGGCCTGGGGCCAAAAGAGCATGAAGGGCCAACACGCCAATCGTAACTTGAAATCAGGGTCTTCATACAACGCTAAAACCATCAAAGCTTCTTTGCTCTCCCTTAATGTCAGAGAGACTCCAGAATTTCGCCTTTGCAGTGGGACGTTAAACCCTT